TTGCCCGGGCGGGTCTCGAACCCGCGGGCTCAGGCAATCCACTCACCTCAGCCTTCCAAACGTGTGGGATTACAGGCTGAGCCACCGAGCCCGGCTTCTAAAAAAATTTTTTTTTAAGTTTTACTTTAGGCTGGGCTCAGTGGTTCAGCCTGTAATTCCAGCACTTTGGGAGGCCAAGGCGAGTGGATTGCCTGAGTCCGCGGGTTTGGAACCAGCCCGGGCAAGTTGGCGAGACCTCATCTCTACAATAAATAAAAAAATTAGCCAGGCATGGTAGCGCGCGCCTGTAGTTCTCGCTACTTAGAAGGCTGAGGCGGAAGGATCTCCGGAGCCCAGCAGGTCAAAGCTGGGGTAGCCATGAGCATGCTCCTCCACTCCAGCCTGGGTGACAGTGAGACTCTAACTCAAAAAAAAGTTTTACTTTAATCATGAGTAACAACATAGTCTTTGACTAATCTTCACAAAATTAGGTTGGTGAAAGTCTTTGTTCTAGGAAATCTGACTCTTGATATATGTAGAATATAAGTAGTATCTTTTCACTCAAATACTTGTGAATCAAACTTCATTCATTTGTTCCTCCTCCACTACCTTTTTTTTTTGTTTTTTGGTAAATAGGAGACTTAGCCTGATGGAGTTTCTCCATTCTCACTCAGTATATTTGAGGGCAGAATTCAGAAATGTAGTTTGCAAAGTGATCCAGTATACCCAAACAGTTTGGTAAGACTGTTATTTGTGTTGTACACCTTTTCTCTAACTTATCCTGCAAAGCAAGATGCAAGACTTTCTTGATTCTATCTAGTGAATAGTAAATGAGACACAGATACTGAGGCTATTTACTGAACCATATATGAATATCTTACTATATAATTATTTTGGAAAATAAATTTAGCCTATTTGCAAAAGAAATCATTTAAATCCATTTATTGTTGTGTATATTACATTCATTTACATTTTTTTTCTCCCTCATGGAAATTGCACTTCTTATAACAGCTGAAAAGCAAGCATGGCCAAGGATAGCACATAATATATACAGTCATAAATTGTAATTTGACCTTACTCTAAGAAGGAGGATTAGTTTGGCCTGGAGGTGAACCTTCAAGAAAAACAGTACAAAGAACTGGTAATGAGGATTTCCTAAGGAAGAAATGGTCGTGTTTTGATCCATTGTATGTGGAAGGATATCATATTACTAAGGTGTTGTTAGTTTTACAGAAATGTTGTTTAGACTTGAAACAGTAGTGGGAAAAATAAAAATCTGGTTGCCATTTTTCTTTTGTGAAAGGTATTTGAAGTTAATGTATAGTTTACCTTTGCTTTCTAGTGCCCAACTATATTCTGTGTTCTAAAATTTTATTTATTTGTGTTTACATATTTATAGTAGATAATCTTTGTTCTAAACATAGATTTTTAAAAAAAATTTAGACTCCAACATGTCCAAAGGTATGTGAATGACTTTGTACAGGTGGACCTTACGTACTTAATGTGTAAGCACACTTGGGACTAAGCAAAGAAGAAAGGTTCTCAGAGAACTGGTTGAAAGCCAAATCAGCCTCTTTTCAAATAGATGCTGTGTAAGCAAGTCTTTATCAGATCATTACAGAAATACTGCCTATCTTTAAATAATATTTTTAAAATAACTAATTTGACAAATGACTATTGAGTCAGCCAGAAATAAAGAGAAATTGTTCCATTTTGTTTAGTTTTACTGATGCCATTTAAATTCTGTTCCCTTAGTGGAAAATCATGTTTATTTCTGTTCAGAACTGAACCTTTAAAGTTATAAAATGTTAATAAAGGTGTAGAAAAAGTCATTAATTTTCATATCAACCCTGCTGTGCTGCTCAATCCAAATCTCAGCAAACAATGAATAAAGAGGACATATATTATTAGAGGAA